CAAGTTCGGTACCAATTTGCCGACCACGGAGAGATGGGAGGTTTGGTGGGCCATGGGCGCGAAGATCGATTCCACGTGTGTGTTGCAGGGCGCCTCCGACCACTGCGCCACATGCTCCCATACTTTTACTTATAACAGTTGCAATCGAGGATTGTAAACCCACTTTGAAGGTAAATATGACCTGTTCCTATTTTGTGTCTGAGAGAAGTGTAAATTCTGCTTGACAAGAAGGAAAAAGAACAACTGCTCCTCTCGACTACCACACAGCTATGCAGGAATTCTGAATCAGTCGAATGGCAGTGAATAAATGAATAATTTAAATACTTTTCAAGATAGTTAGTGGAAAAACTCGAATGAATAATAGAAATGGAAGTTGAAAAGCAGTAGAACATTACTTGTTGTTTGCATGATAATGCTAATCGATAAAAAAGAGAAAAAGAGGTGGTAGAGAAAATGAGACCAAATGTTCAGAAGCTGCTAATTTTGTAAAATGACGAATCGATAAATGGTCGCTATTCATGCAAAACGCTCTTGGTGTCGACCACACAGTGCTAAACATAGATATCGATAGACGCATTCATGGAGTCGACTTCACGTTGCAATCATAGATTTATGAAAATTAATAGTACTAAATAGACTAAAGTCGGTTCGCAATGGGTCGTTTTCTTTCTCAGCAGTCTTTATAATGCCGAGGTTCATAGAAAGTCGATCCGGGGATCAGTCGCAATTTTTTACATATGTGAAAAGAAATGAAACAAGCGAAACAAAGTTTTAATAGAACAAAAGAAACAAAGCTAGTGCGGTGTTCACTGGCACCGGAAGACCTCAGGACACTGGTCTGTCGAGAGGATACGCGGGGCCCGTCAACGTTGAGTGTAGAGACATCGGTATAAATCAAAGCGATCATATACTTTCCTGTAAATGCACGTAACAGACCAGCTCTTCTGTCCCTACTGAGTCTTATTGATTCATATCTTTAGTATTCGTACAATCAAACCCATATAGACTTAAGTTGGAGTATTTACATGTAAATGGATCTCATTTTGTAATCAATTTGACTAAAACTCAGCGCTCAATCGACTAGGAAACACATCGAAAGCGGGTCAAAGTTCTCTGCATAAATGTCCCACGCATGCTCCAGAACAGCTCTGTAAGCTAGTCGTCAGCACGTACGGTAATAGCTCAATCTCGTTCTAATGATCACTCTCTTAACGAAAACAATAAAAGGATTCAATTTAATACATGACATTCCTTTGGTTTTTGAGTAAAATGAGTTCATAGGGCTGCTTAGCATCACTATAGTGGTTGAAAGAAGATTTTCTTAGTGCTTGCTTCAGTCAGCTGATGATGCAGTAGATTATAGATGACGCAGATGACTATAAATAGATTGAAACACTGCATAAGAGTAAAAAATGATGGGCAACAAAACAATGAAGATAGAGCACCCGTTGTTTTGAGATGGTTCTACCATTCCGGAAGGTGTAGGAAAAGCTCTAGTCGTTCCTATGATATACCAGACCTGTCCAGTAGTTTGCTTTTGCTTAAAGGGCACGAACAGCATTGTTGCCCAGAGTCTCTGAACACTGTGTCTCTGATCATCTCTAGTGGAATGGCGCTAAATTGTTCCAGTTATTTTCTTGAAGAAAAATCTCTGTTGTCCTCCTGGGCTAGCGCACATTTCCAGTTCTTAAGTTAAGATAGCCGGATAACTCCTGATTGCTTCTTTCACTTATTTGGAACAAGTCACTCCTTATGGCACTGTTGGTACGACGTTCGACATCACTAAATACCTACTGTGGTTGTCTAGCAACCATGTGTAGGTCACAGAAGAAAGATCCATGAAGTTAAAAAGGTGAGCACGAAGTTCAGATATTTTTGATTCCTTCACCACATCCTCCGTGAAATTCGCAATACCTTCAGAGTTTCGCTTTCAAGCTTGAGTTAAGCCGCATAACATTCTGATTGATGCCAGCCATAGATCCGGAAAGTCTAACATACCGTCCTGGAATTAACTTATCTCCCAAGACAGAACGCTGTGAGCCTTCTGTGGGCATCCTACTTGACGAACAAAAGAAAAATAGGACCTTGTGGAAAACGTAAAAAGCTCTTCGAGTCCCTAGAATAAATAGATTCCATGGTGTTAACAGAATTCCACGAGACATAAATCAAGGCTATACAGCAGTATTTTCTATAAATAGTTTAAAATAAGGAAGCGACGAAAGTTATATCAATGCTACTAGCTACTAGTGAGTGGTTTCTTCACTCAATTTCCTGGAAAGTTTCGAAAATCGGAACTATTCACAGACCGACAGACAACAGAAAGTGAGAATATCGTAAAAATCGAACAAACCGGTCCAGATTATTACAAAAACGGGTCAAATATTTAAAAAATCAATACGAAAGGAGGAAAAGACGGCGTTATAACTCTTTGCGAAGAAATAGCGTAAAGAAATCAATAACGACGTTGGCACAACCCGTCCCATGGAATTTCAGTGAAAACTTGGACGGCTCTGATTCTCTCGCTCTCACTCTTTCTATCGTCCTTTTCACGTTTTCTTTAGACTTTTTATGAGAGCAATTATGATCAATATGCCAATTTTCACAAGCATTCCACAATGTAAACGGATACCACACACATAATTAATGAACAGATATAGAAAAATCTGAAAGAGCGAGTCAGAAACAACCACAATGATGCTGCGAATGTCTGCGGTGAGGAACGAACGCGCCATTGTCCTTTCCAGGGAGTACCGCGTTCACCACCACACCATGCGGGTTCTTCGTTTCGCCTGTCTCTCAGCTAGTTCTATCGATCACTACCATCACCAATCACCCGTCAACGGGATTGATCTGGGGAGCCCAAATCGGCATTGAACCCAGTTAAGCTGAGGTTATAGTTGAAATTCACAATATTGACTTTTTATTTACTGCTTTTTACTAGTTTTCAAGGCAGGTGATTGCTGGAGGCAGTGATCGATAGAACTAGCTGAGAGACAGGCGAAACGAAGGACCCTCATGGTGTGGTGGTGAGCGCTTTATTCCCCGGAAAGGACAATAGCACTAACGATGATAGGAGAATTAGTAGTTAGCATAAGATATAACTACTATACGACAGCACTTTAAACGTTAATCGATAAATTGCGGACAGACGGAAGATGATTTTTTTCTCTCATTTTTCCCTATGATTTATGTATAGTGGTAAAAATCCGCATGTCACATTCATATTGAAATGAATGGATACTAGTAATAGCGGTAAATAGTCTCTTAACCCTGGATTCAATCGTACTAGGATGAAGCGTTGATGAAGTTTCAGCTTATCACGCCATTCTACACAATTTCCGCTTATCACGCCATTTTACAGAATCTTTTTAATAGTACCGTTCATTGTGAACACAATGGCACTAGTCGTTGTCCATGCTAACCAAAAAAAGCAGATTCTGTCGTTTGATAATATGGCAAATAGAATTATGGGCACTGTTCACTTTCAGCTGGTTTTCACTTCCAGAAAAATATCATTAAATTTTAAAACTCCATTAATTGCGCTAATTTATGCTATATTCTCAGCATGGGTGCCTGTATGAGAAAGTGGAAGAGGAAAAGGAGGAGGAGGACCAAGATGCTTTCGTTTTCTATGCAATCATTTCTACAAGAGAAACAACGAGAAAATACTACTTCACTTCTTCATTTTTGGATGCTACAACACACTTCTGAATTAAATTTGAATCTCATCCAAACTATCCATGAAGAAAAAAAAAGGTCAGAGAAACTAAAAATTTCGGAAATCGATCTCTCGTTTAAAAGAGGGCGTTTGTTGAAGATGAAGCATCCTTCAAACCTCGTCTGACGACTAGAATGTTTTGCAAATTAGATCCTATGACTGTCTAAGTGACAGAGTTTGGACAGAAGCATTACGGTAAAGAATGAAACGATGAAGTGTTCAGCACTGTTCAATCGCTTTAGAATGTAGTGTGCATCGATCTTCATTCAGCATCATAGACGTGATTGAATGCGTATTTGACAGATGCAATGACTTGCGGTTATGGTCTGGTGTATTACGTCCCAGACACGTCTGGTATCAATTCGTCGACTTCGAACAGATAAGAGTCTGGATAGATCGTCCAGAGTGTGGTATTGAACCATTGACCACTTGCGTATGACAAGGTACCTCTAACCGGTGCGCTATACTCGGTCGATACTACGGTAGAAACAAGAAGATTTCTTACTTTTCTGTCACTTGAGGTAATAATAAATATTGTTCGGAAGATATCTCTGACTAAAGTTATACATATGACAGTCGAATGGATTTGATTCTAAGCATGAAACAGATTTCTAAAGGATAAATGAATTTTCTCTGCTCGTTTAATGCCTACCAACAGATATGTTAACCTGAGTTTTTCAATGATTTTACCATCTACGGAATGGAATACGTCTCAGAAGAGTCTGACAGACTCACTATAACGCATCACAAGCAAAGAAGAAAGATTTTACGAAAAAATGAACAGAAAAAACCAGGTGAAAGCACGAACTTCATGAAGGGAACAAAAACCCTAAGAGAAAAGCACAATTTCGTTTCGTCTGAATGCTCGAGTTTCGGAAAAGAAGCGAGATTTTGACGAAACCTTATGCAAAGCTGAAGAATCGTTGGAAAGATTAGGGCGTTGTTTATGAAAGACTTCAGGCAAGAACAACTACATTGCCCTAAAAAAGGTTACAGCACATATAGAAACTAGATTGAGAATTTTTAGACATTTAAAAGAAAAAGAAGTGCATTTAAAAACTAATCCAATAAAACAGATGAACCGTGTGAATGTGTGACACATAACTCTACCGATGACGGAAACCGATCGCCAGCGTGTTTGGAATGAGCATTCAGGATTCGAGTCCAAAGGCATCGAAGTGGTGATTGGCTGACCAGAGGAGGTTGTCAGGGTTGGTCGTGACGACTGGCCGACGCCCGTCAACCCGATCGACCCGACGTGGCATTCCTGCCCTTTCGCCATATGCGTTCGTCTGCGTCTCCACATCGCTCGGCACTGCCTTCGTGCCACAGCGCTGGACGCGGAGTCTGCAAATCATCCGGTTGTCGTCGCCCACCCAGCGACGCCGTCGCCACAGTCGCATGTCGCTCATTCACGTCATATCAATGCGTGTCGCAAGCCACATGGTCTAGTCTCGCTTTGTCGCGCTTAGCTTGTTCGTCATCTCCTATCGCCCATTGTCCGTTACCCGTCGTATGTCGTTCGCCGCGCATCGCTCATCGTTCGCCGCACACCGCGCATCGTTCGCCGCGCATCGCTCATCGTTCGCCGCGCATCGCTCATCGTTCGCCGCACACCGCTCATCATTCGTTGCCAGCCGCTCACCGTTCGCCGCTCGTCGTTTGTCGCCCGCTGCCGCCCATCGTTCGTCGCCCACCGCTCAGTGTTTGCCGCCCGTCGCTGGTCGCTCGCCGCTCACCGCCCGCCGCTCATCGTTCGCCGCTCGTCGTTCGCTGCTCGTCGTTTGCCGCTCGTCCTTAACCGCTCAACGCTCTTCGTTCGGCGCCTGGCGCTCATCGTTCGCCGGCCAATGCCGTCCATCGTTCATCGCCCGCTGCCGCCCGTCGCTCGTTGCAGGTCGCCTAGCGTTCGATGCCCGCAGCTCACCGTTTGTCGCCCAACGTTCGCCTGATTACGTTACGTTACGTTCTGATTTCACATTTATGAAAGTAAAACAAGCTTCATAATTCACATTCCGTCAGATAACACCGGAGAAAGATCTTTTACAACTACTGCGAGGCTGAGATATTAGCAAAACCTGGACAACCGGCCAGATTCGAACCCGTGATTACCCTTTCCGGTGGTTCACGTGTTACTCATTACACCACTGAGACCCTCCCTCTGCCTTTCTCAGCCAATTTTTCTTACTCTAACAGTGCTATCAGCAGTTATCGGTCAACGGGAATGATCTAGGGAGCACAATCGACATTGATCCCAGTTAAGCAGAGTTGGGCTGTAAAAATGTCTTATCTCACTATTCCATTTCTAAAAATTCTTTTATATAAAACGAATAGCAGTGTACACTCTTCACACTGCACTGTTTAAAAAACCAGTGTGCCTTTTGTAAAATAAAAACCTACCTCATTTAGCCAAAAAGGCTGAGATATGAACAAAACTTGAGACATTGTGGGGTGGGCTTAGCTGATAGCATCAGGAGAATAGAAATATGGCTGGAAGAAAAGAGAGCAATGGCCTCGGTTGCTGTGGTGGACAGCATGTGAGTCTCTTGTATGGGCACTTGGGCTTGAGTGTTTCGAAGTCCACATGGTGTCTCAAATATTGCTCATTTCTCAGCATCCTTGTGATTGTGTTAGGTACTCTTTTAATTCACGAAACTGCATGAGAAAAGAATAGGCAGTAAATAAATGTTAGAACACTACCTCTGAGTGTGACTAATCAACATGTATTCTTTCATTAATAACCCAACAAGAAGTTGGTAAACAGTTTTGTTCCGCTACCGGTTCGACGTTTTAGTCTTTCTTAGAACCGATGACTCGGGTCGATGCCCACAGTCGTTCGTGCTCTCGATGTGGTTCTTCGTCGTGGCATCGAGTCGAATTATCTTCAGTGGAGCATCGCTTGACTGGGGCAATTTCACACTCCACTCCACACGAAATCCTACATCGCGCTTGGTTATTCTTCGTTTTGAACTCCCACCAAAAGAAATTGCAGCTGTTACTCACCAACATGTTCAGCTGATGAAACTGAACTGGACACGTTTCAAAACCAGTTGGAGGAAGTAATCCACAACGAGAAGGCCTTCTATAAATTCGTTATTGGAGACTTTAAAGCCAGATTAGGAACGGCTAACGAAAATGAATACAGGCTGGGGAAATTTTGAAAAAGAGAGTTCAGTGAGAATGAAAACCGTCTCGCTCCATAGGCTCTTCACGAAGATAATAGTTTTGCACATATCAAGGGCATTGGATGAGTCATAACCAGTTGAGCAATCAGGATTCCGACAGGGATTTTTCTGCATGCACCATATATAAACCGTGCCCACGGTCATTGAAGCTTGTCGGCACTACCACCTACCCCTAGCCCTGATACTTGTCGACTACGAAAAATCTTTTGATAGTGATGAAACCAATGAAATCCTATGAGGGCCCATCCTACACTAGAACTCTGACTGTTATGGGAACTGCACTATGAAAGTACAACTTCTCCGTCGACCTCTTACCATATCTATTGGAAAAGGAGTTCGATAATACGACATCGTATGGCCAAAGCTGTTTGGCCCCGCACTGAAAAGGATAATAATTTCACTTTAATGATATGGAAAAGGCGAAAGTATTGATGGAAAATTCCTATCAATTCACCGTTTCGCCGATGACACTGTTGTCTTCTCAAGAAGCACCAACTAAGCACAGACGATGATCAATGAACTCAACGAAGCAGAAAAAGTTCACGCTACGCATAAATCAGAAAACCCAATTCATGAAAAAAAAAGTTCATGAAAACTCATGGTTCGAAGGCTAACAAGATTAAACTGGACAACCACAACGTTGCTGAGATATTTGCAAAACTCTGGACCGCAGGTGTCTATGGTGAGGAGCGAACGCGCTATTGTCCTTTCCGGGGAGTAACGCGTTCACCACCATACCATGCGGGTCCTTCGTTTCACCTTTCTCTCAGCTAGTTCAATCGAACAGCGCCATCAGCAATCACCCGTCAACGGAATTGATCTGTGGTGGTGGGCGCGTTACTCCCCGGAAAGGACAATAGCGCGTTCGTTCCCCACCTTATACACCTGCGGTCCAGAGTTTTGCAAATATCTCAGCAACGTTGTGGTTGTATTTCGTTTAGTACCCTGCCGCGAAATTATAGTAGGCAGAAAATAAAAAGGTATAACATTAAACTGGACAGTTCCCTTGATACGGAGACCACTTTGTACGTATGTCTTGGAGGCTAAATGAACACGGAGATCAACATGAACTAGAAATGAGACAAAGGAAGGAGGCAGCATAGGACGCATTAGAGCCTCTCAAAGAAGTCACCGATAACCAGCTCACCAAAACTCCGCGCTCATCCTCTTAACTGAACAGTCCTCTCAGCGCTCCGTTATGCAACAGAGACTTGGACTGAGGCTTCAACCAGGTCAAGAATTCCGCGTACCACCCACAGAGTGCTTAAACTGTGTATCCTAAAATTAGCACTGACAAGGTCCAGCCATAATGCGCAGCTCAGATCTGCCGAACTTATCCCATCTTCGGGTTCCAAGAGAATTATCAGTAGCGTGGTAGAGACGGACTAGTTTCCTTACATGAACGGATTGAAGATGAACGAAAAGAACAGTGGAGTGGTCTCGAACAGAAAGCAGGCCTCTTCTTTGACGACCTTGCTAACAATGGGCGGGCATATTCCTGAACAACGTCAACTATCTTCGTTCTCAGACGGTTATTTCAGAAATAAGGAATGAATATCGCTAGGTTCGCGGCAGAGGACACCTCCATGACGACGCTAGCGTGAAAAAGATGGGTGCAAATTGTGCTGAAGTCCGCACTAACAATAAAGACGGGCTATCCAGCTATCCAAGTGGTTATTCAAATACGGTAAATTGAAGGTAAAAGTGGTAAGGCTCACTCCAAGACAGTACATAACTCCTTAAGCAAGACTGAATAGCAAAAGAATGGACTAGGATGAGTCCCTTCATTGATATTTTTCATTGTTTTCTTAGAGATCACTTGGAAGCTATCGTAGATTAAGAACGGCTATGAATAATGACAAAACGACCCTTGCTTGTTCTTTGCTAAATTCACCAAACGCAGACAGTTCGGTTAACTTGTACGTTGGTGAAAACTGTGATTATCTAGAGTTAATATCTGAGCTATGCAGCATTCAGGAATGGCTTCTTCCAAATTCTCATTTAACAGGAAAAGCATATTCGTGTAGATCGGCTTTTATTAAACTGCAATCTTCCAGAACGACAAATAGTTGGATCATCTGACGGCGTCTTCATCAGACACTAGAAAGTGTCACACTGATATTGTGCTTGCTAAGAAAAGTCCTTTCGAAACCCTTAAAGAAAACGAGAAAATAAATAAGTTTCATGATGCTTCAGCTAGTGTAAAGTTTAAACCTTACATTAAGTGTAAGGGTGCTCATGATGAAAGAGTTCAGTATAAGAAAAGAAGTTGATGAAGAACTTTTGTCTGTTAAGAAAAGGAATAACGCTAAGAGACATGTTCATACTATCTTCTTTTTTGGAAACCTGGACATGAATACAGCACTTTCAAAGAAAAAACTTAAAGTGCTGTTGGCTGCAACAGTGAGGATGATTCTTAGTGTCCGAAATGTAATCACTAATGGAGCTGAACACTATCTGCACAAGTCTTCCTGTATAAGAACAACTACACCGAATACGGCAATACGTGGGTAGGAGATAGTGAAGATGATCAATTGAACTTAATACTTCAGTAGCCTGAAAATCGCAGGATAGATGGTAAAATAAACTCGATGTGTGTGCAGCTGCAGAAGTCTTAATAAAAATTCTCAAATGGACTTAATTCTTTTCACGACTGAAGAGTAACCACTAGACCAAAGCCGTAAATGACGACACTTCAAGCGAACAATGGGTGGCAGAAACGTTGATGTCATCACTGTATTTCTTAATTAACGGCTTCTGAACTAGAGAACTGCAACGCTATTTTGGTATTTAGAACAATAATTGGTCACACCATATTACCGTAGAATCAAAAAGAAATGTACGATGTGGCTCACTCACTGTAGATGTTTAGTTGATTCGTTCCTAAGCGTGCGTTGAAATTAAATGCACAAATAAACAAATAAACGAGCACTTAAAAATGCAGCGTATGTGCACAAAATTATTATTGAAAAATTTTGTGCTGCCCAATTTCCTGTGCTGACCTTTCAACTTTCCAACGGTTAACCACCTTCTCGTGGCTGTCCTGGGTGTTGGGGTGCGATGTGTAGAGCAGGGCAGTTCATCTTACTGGCAGGGTCTCCCAAGCCAACAAAAAGTGCGGCGTTACCATCAGGAGGCCCAGCTAAAAGTAAATCAATACTAGAATCTGTCACTGCCCTATTACCACATTAGTCGCATGGTGGTAAATCTCCCTCTCATCCGCAACGGTGGAGACGGTGGAGACTGCCTGTGGTGGTGAAAATCCAAAGGAGATTTTGGCCTGTATGAGCTCGGAACTCCAAGGAACCGCAATGACTAAACCAGCTAACCTTCGTAAAAATGAAGATTATGCTGGAAACCGCGCAACCAGTGAGGTCGGGCCATCCAACTACTTTTCGTTCCTAGAAATAGCCTTTTTTATTAGTTCTGTTTAAATTTTAAGAATTGATATCATTTTAGTAAGTGATGGCAAACCTATTAAATTCCGAAGGTTTTCTCAATAATGGACTTTTAAATTTTTTTTGTCAAATATGGTATTCTGTGTCCTTATCACAGAAACAGCAGATGGAATTAGGTCTATCACGTTCCCAAAGTTCCAGCTTAGGCTACGCATGAT